GCTGCGGAACCGGGGCTGCGTAACTCCTGGCTTGCGTGCCCCTGGCGATTCCCAGCGCGCTGATGGGGTGGAGGGCGAGCGCGCGGTGCACAATGGCATTCTCCTTTCTTAGCTGTTCAATACCTGGTCTGAAACGATCCTGTAGCCTTTAAGCAGGCGATACTCCCTCTGAACTCTTCTCAGAGCAGAAGCTGTAGGATGTGCCCTTAACAGCTGGCAGAGGGCAGATCCCTTCGTCGCTATTTGTATATCCTGTTCAGCTGTGGCACCCTCAGGAGGGATTCGGAACTGCCTGTGGGATGAAGCAGTGTGGTGTAAAATGCCATCATTGCTGCAGTTCAGTTTCAGAGGAATGCTGGCATGTAAATCTTTAGTTCAGAGGGAAATTTTTTTTGCGAGTAGGCACCGTGTTTTGATTGTAGCTCCCGCGTGTGATGCCGGAGTCGTATCACTGAGAGGAGAGGGCTGACTCCAGGCCTCCCCTGTGTAAGTGATCCCAGATGTGGGCAGATGTGCATTGTGCGTAGCTGTTGCTGCAGTGCTGCTACATGGTCTCCTTCAGTTTGCATTTAATATGCCCCGGGTTAGATATCTATCTTCCTGATACCCACGTGAAGGGGTAGCCGGCATCGCTTGCCCACTCAGCGTTTCTGGTGCGGGATTACAGAAGGTTCCCACTTTACATTCTCATGGAGCTTCATCTTTCAGTCCTTTGCAGTGGACTTTGTCTTCTTTCTGGTAAAAGTCACCCTAAATCTAATCGGGCTTCCCCACTGAGCAGGACGGTGCCTTCACTTGCGTGGTGCTGCAGTCGAGCCAGCTTACTCTGCAGCTGGCGGTAGTGTTACTCTCAGTCCGAGTGGGGTCGGGAGCAAATCTGTAGTCTTACAAATCATCTGTGTGAAATGCCCTGCAGAGCTCGCTGCTCCCTGCAGAGCTCCGATGGCGTTGGACGTTGTTGTCCAGTGAAATGAGTTGTGGTGCTGAGCCTGCTAGCAATAGGGCAAAGCCCTTAAGCACGTGCCTGCCTTCAGCAGGGCCGTAACCGTTGCTGATGGTGAGATCGCACAGATCACCCCGCGGCATCCAGATCAGCACCTCGAGTGCTCAGGAACCAATATCCAGCCAAGAACTCGCTCTGCTTCCTGGGTTAGGAACGGAGAGCTTCTCCGTAACGAATTCTCTTTGGTAATCCTATCCCGTTTTATACTGATCTGCATCGATTTAGACGTTTGTCAGGGCTGCCGTCCCCTCGAGTTGTGCCCTTGCCTAGAGAAAGGCCACACCGATCAAAGCCGGCGTCTTTCAGGGTGCTTCAAAGATCCCGAAAGCAAAACGGCCCTTTCGCCACTGCCGTGGTCCTACTCTGTGAATGAATTTCAGCGTGGTCGTTGTCTAGCAAGGTTTTTTACGTGTACAGCAACTTAAAACACTCCAATTGGTTTTCCAGCTTTTTATGAGAAGTTAGAAATACAACTGATCCTTGCTGTAAGCCAGTGAGAACTGGAGACATGGCTTCCACTTTGGGTCATTTTATTTCACCGTCAGCATTAGTGGCTCATGAGAACAATACAAAAATCACGTACCGTTAGGTCCATTGAAGCTCAGACTCACTGCTGAAGTACATGAAGTTAAATCATATGTAAATACTGATGCAAAAAGCAGTGTCTTGCCAGACAATTTATCTATTTAACATGTATTGGTACTTTATTTAGATTCAATGTATAAAGCAACTTTGTGCACTTTTCCTACATACAGTATTGGGGGGTTTTATGTTCTTTTGTTATGAATTTTGTGCTGTCTTTTTTAATCAGTGAAATTGTTAAGTATTTAATTTATTATTGATGTGCCCAGAGGACTAGTGCAATTTTTATTCAATACAGTTTGTCTGTATTTAATGTCAGGATTTTTTTGTAGCATCGTTAGGGAATATTTTTCAAACCCTGCCTTTTTTCCCCCCACAATTTTCCTTCCCCCCTCCCTTTTCTCTTCTATTTTCATTATACAGATCGTGAGGCATTAAATGCCTTTAGTTTGGAACATAATCGAACACTTTAGCACATCCTGCAGTTTCTAAAACAAAAAGGTTCTCCAGGAAAAAATGCTAAGGAGGCACTTCTCAATGTTTTCTGTGTTTATTTGATTTTTTTGATTGGGGTGTGTGTGCGCGTGCGTGTGCTTAAAAGTTTGGAGGGGAGAGCGGGCAAGTTGTACAAAAAGTTTGTTTTCACAAAAAATAAACGGCCAACCAGGCTCCAGGGAAGACTAGATATGAACACTTGCGCTTTTTTCCTTCTTCGAATACAGCTGTATTTGTGTTGTACAATCTTGTTTGAAATATCTAACACCAAAACTACTCTATTTTCATTCTTCCGTTCTTTTCAAACAGTGCGTATGTTATCTATCTGATAGTAACTTGGTTGCAACCACAGTTAACATGAGGAGGTTTGCCTTTGTCTAGAAAGCAACATGCCAGGCATTGTCAAAACGTAAAGAGACCCAAACCCTTGCCTCAGCCATGCAGCTTCTGTCATCTTTTGAGTTTTTTGAGATCTGGATGAATATTTACACTCCTGTCCTAGCTTTTGTTTGACTCGACCCAAACCCTGTAACCAAGTGCCTGGACAGGTAGTCTAGGTGTGAACCTTTGGGGTCTGCCACATGTCTCCGATTCCAAATGGGATGAGTTCAGGTTGCTGGCAAGTTGAAATGATGCCCTCTGTGTTCCCTCTCCGCATGTCAGCCAGGGAAGCCTCAGGTTATTTTAGTATTGTTGTCTCTGAGATGGTCTCTGCAGTGGGAAATTTCTTTGAGCAGTCTAGAGGAAAAACATGGAATCGGAAGAATTAATGTTTTTAAAGAAAAAGATTTGACAAGCTGAGACCGTGATCAGCATAAAATAGATCAATAACATCTCAGACCAGCAAAAATGGCCATTATTTATGCAAGAGAAAAACAGGGCCTCCTAAAGAAATGCACTGATTAACTAATTGTCCAGTGGCCACAACACAGTTGTTGTCTCCTGCTGTGTTGTTCTGTGCTGCTCGACTCTCCCTGGACCCACTTCTCTCTCCTC